GGTCAAGAGAGAACAGATTTCCAAACCTTGATCCAGAGATATGCTTAAAATGACAGTGGAAAGACTTCGCAATGCAGGCACATCTCTGATTTCGTAACCAACAGAATGATCCACAACACTGGTTTACATGCCCATATACTGTTGGGGAACAACAGCTACATGTTAGGAGGCATTGGAAAGAAAGAGAGGACCCAACGCATGCTCTAGGACCCTACAAGCAAATAAGGGAACGCCCTGGGTTTCCAGTTTGAGGACGATAGTAAGCAAGAATGAACCAAATGAACTAAGTCTTCCTAGATCTCTAGTTACCGTCCAGTGGAAGTTTTCAGGAATTTCCAGAAAGAGTTCAAGAATTAGGGATAATTAGGAACTTTTAAATATGTATAGAAGAAACCTGGCGGGTAGGGCCTCTTCCCAGCTGAGGGCTACTGCCTCTGGGATAACTCAGAGCTGGTGGCCCATGGCTGCAGCAAGAACATGTGAGGCACCTCAGAGTGTCCCCTCACCTGGCCAACAGTCACCTGATTTGGTAAAGCACAAAGAACACACCTCCTTCTCAAATGTAAACTGCCTTAAGGTAAAGCACTTTTTCTCACTAAAGGATGAGGCACAGAAAAACCTATCAGCCCCAGTTTACCCACCCCCTGCTTGTAATTCTGTCTCACTGAGACTGGAGGAGGAGAAGAAAGCTGCAGTGATGGGAAAGGACATTACATCAAAGGAAAACAAAACAAAGGTATCGAAATTACTTATAAAAAATAATTTTTAAAATATAGCGATTGTTTAGGTGTGCAATAAATGCATTCCTGAAATTTTTTGGAAAAGGAATCATTTTAAATGCACCTCAGGAACTGGTGGCTTTAATACTATATGCTATTAGGAACAGAGAATATTCCTGAAAGTGCAGAATCCTTTCGTAAAATAATTATCAAAATCACTTTCTGTAATCACAGCATATACAAATCCTTATTGAGTCCACTTAAATAGAGATCCAGAGACACACAGAAGTACACAGCAGTTAAGACTGAGGAGCTGGCAAAGGGGCTGTGGAAGTGAAGGCACAGAAGTCAGGTACTGCCACAGATGATCTGTGTTTATTCGTGAGGCCCGGGAGAGCTCCTGACTTGTGTCCTCTCTGGAGCCTAGTGTGTGTGAGCTACTCCTCCCCCCAAACAAAAACTGCTCTGCTTTCCCATGTAGCCAACCCTGCCAGTTCTAAGCCTGTCCTCTCATCTCTCCCCCAGTGCCTGCAGGTCTGAAGCACCTCTCACAGCCAAAGGTGGGGAAGATGGCCCAGAGCTGATGTGGATCTCAGCCCAGGTGTATAGCTGTGCCAGAAACCCCTACACCCCGGGGGTGGAGAGATGAAAAACCAGCCCTGGCCTCGGAACACACCTACCTGGCAAGGTGGCCAACCACACAGCTTACTCGAGAGGGAGCCTAGCAGGCTGGCAGAGGGCATAAGAAAACCCCGGAGGCCCTGAGAAAGCACACCTGAGCTCATCATGACAAATGAGATGGGCCACACTGTCCAGCACTGCAGGCCTCGCTGCCCTGAACTCACTGCCTGCATGCACAAAGGAAAAGGCTGAAGTAATAAATGGTCTCTGGGAGCAGATGACTTCAAATTTTCTTTCATTTGTTATTTAGATATTTTTTCCCCTAAGTTTCTGCGATGAGGGAAGGTGGGTACTTAGGGTCAGGCAGAACCCACAAAGATAAGCTTGAAGAAGCCAGGTTCCCAGGATAAGAGTTATTTTAGGGGACCTCACTGCCCAAGCACCCAGGTCTAGAGCTTGAGTTCAGTGCTGAAGGATGGGAAATAGATGCTTAAATATGATTTCAGTATCACAGCTGGCCAGCCTTGTTGGTACCACTGGTCAGTCTTAAAGCTTGTGATGCTGAGCACATGGGTCATTAAAAATGCTTGATCACTAGGATGGCACGGTATCTGTAACGTGCAGTGCTGTTATCCAATAGCTGATCTACGTATGTGTCTAAGGCTTCAGTTAAGTCGGACTCATACAAAAAAAATCTGATTTTTTAAAAAGTATTGCACAGACATCAAAGGAAACAAAATCAGATCTTGTTTTGAACTTATTTCGTAAGTACTTTTTGCCTCATATTGTTTTTATTTTTATTACCATCATTTTTTCATTGCTTAGAATTTTTTACAGGTTTTATTTTGGCCCTGGGTAGATAAAAGGAAACTGTATTGCAAAATTTTAAGCCTTTTCTTGGTTTCATCAGCACAGGTCATACCGGCATTGAGACAGACCTTCAATAGTAACCTTCCAGATGCATCTGGGGGCTTTGGAGAGAGTTACAAGAAGAAGGAAAAAAACAACTAGTAGAGGTCGTGAAGCCATAGAGTAATTTGTTGCTGAACAGCATGGTCACCAGATGTGGGGAAATACTTTCCAATAGTGCAATTAAAGACCAAGCATTCTCATCATCGGCTTGAATTTATGTCAGAAGACAGGACCCCCACCTCCCTTTTTAGAATGGGTAAAACCTTTGATCCTTAACAAACTGAAAGAGAAAACTAAGTTGTACCTTTTATTTACTTATTTGCTAAAAACTATGATAGATTCAACCACAACTGAAATGGAATGATCTAAATAAAGTGCTTTAGTGTCAACTGTTCTATGGAACCAACATTTTTCCATGCACATAGCACTTATTAATCTCAATGGTATTGTTTGAAGGCTACCCTTCTAAGCTCTCAATTATTTGCACAATCGATGCTGATTTTCTCCATTCCCAGTGGAACTGCCTTCTTGAATTTCCCGTGTTATGTTTTCCTAAAGACTATTCTCAGGTTCTGTGACCTGACTCTGCTGCAATGATGGATTTTTGGCCATGGCTTGTCTTAAAACTTCATAATTATATAACTGCATCATAACATAGCAAATACATATTTTAATATACAGACAGAAAAAAATATTTGCATACTTATAAAAACCAGAGAAGGAAAGTTTATTTGAGATGTAGGATTTGGAAAGGCCAGCTTGGGCTTGTGCTGGGACTGAAGTGTAAACATTTTTTAGTTCCCCTAAGATGTCTGCACCACTGTAATAGTTTTCTTTGTTCAGAGCAATGACTTTTAATCTTAGATTTGTGACACTCCTGGGTGTCTCCAGATATCTCCGGAGGTGTTGTAAAACTCCCTACACAAAATGCCAAGTAAAATAATTTAAATTCACTTTAGAAATATGCCACACATGTTTGGAGGCAAGGGAGGGTGTCCTGGAATCTAAAGAGTCAAAAGTGTTACAAAAGCTTGATCCTTATCAATTATATTTTAGTTTAAACCAACTGATGAATAGATAAAATAAACAAAGGAAATTAAGCAAAATGAGATAGTCTCCATGTGTGATTTTATGGTTGGGGAGACAAGGAAGGAGCTGGTTAGTTGGGACACAATTATTGTAGAAAACCCTTTTGAATCCTTTATTTACTAATGAAAGAATTAGCACTGACTGACAATTGAAAACCCAGTTCCTAACTCTTGCTCACGCTACTTACACTAACACAGCAATTTTCAACCAGAGTGCCACAAGAATTAAAAAAAAAAAAATGGTTTGATTTTAGAGAGAGAGGAAGGGGGGAGGGAGAAACATTGATGTAAGAGAAGAACCACCATCAGTCGTTTCCCTGTAAGCACCCCAACAGGGGACTGAACCCAAAACCTGGGTATTTGCCCTGACCAGGAATTAAACTGGCGACCTTTTGGTGCATGGAACAATGTTCAACCAACTGAGCCACACCAGTGAGGGCAAGAATTTTTAAAACATGCAATACCTGACTATTCAGTCAGGGTCACTGACCTCTTTTTCCTTAGATCAGGGATGGGGAACGTCCAGCCCAAGGGCCGTACATGGCCCTCGAGATCATTTGGTATGGCCTGCCCAGGCAACAGCAAGCGTGACTCAAAACTCAACAAATCTAGGAGCTTTTTTCATAGCTAATTTTTAAGTTGGTAACTTTGTATGACCCTCAAATGTTGTAATAAATCTGTAAATGGCCCTTGGCAGAAACAAGGTTCCCCATCTCTGCCTTAAACTTTCAAATAAAAAATGACAACAGCCAACACAGCAACAGCTGTTGGATGTGAATTAATCAAAATTATACCTTTTTTTGGTCAGATCAGCAAAAAATGTATTATATTTTTTGGTGTGCTACAGAATTTTAGTACTTACTAGATGAAGAAGGTTGAAAATCACTGCACTAAGACATCGGTGCCTTAAAGCTGACTTAGAGGATTCAGTATTAGTTTCTTTAAAATCAACCAACCAAGCAACAAGAAGAACCGTAGACTCTGGCATCTAGGCAGGGTAAGTTTAATTTAATTTTGTCAGTTTTTCCCTCAGCTTCTCACTTAAATTGTTAGGCTGAGATTACTTGGAGGTTATACATCACTGCTCTGCAATATCTAATTCCAACTTCCCTTCCTTGGTCACCATAGGACAGTAACTAAAAGACTTTCAGTTTGCCATCGGGAAGCTGGCTTATGGCTCTTACTTTTTACTATAGCTTCCAAATTTCCAATAAATTATGTTTCCTGATGGGTTATTGCCCTCAGGCTTCACAGCTTTCTTTATTCAAAACACCTACATCAGTCAAATCTGATAAATCTAAGCATGGAGTTCCTCAACAGTCACACACATATGCACTCAAAAAAGACATCACTAAAAAAAGCACAGTTTTTCATTAAACAGTCCTGCCTTTTCCCAAGAGAACTCAACATTACTGTTTACTCTTTATTTTTCATATCACTGCCTATTTAAATTTAGACCCACATTTTTCATAAGCCCTAGAATTTCAGCAAGAAATTCCTTACTAATTTTCATTTAATCTTCATCTACCCTGTTAATACTGCTTGCCAAGAAGACCAAGCAAAGTTCCTTTTAAACTAGGTCTTTTGTATCATACTTCCAAAGCTGTCTGGAGAGTCAGATACCTGAAAGGTATAAGTAAGAAGGAAAAAGTATCCTTGCCTTATTTGTAGCAGTAGCACTGGATCCAGGGACCAAGGGCACATTTGTCACTTGAACCGAAAGGTAATTATTATCTATGAGTGGCCAGGCTCCTTCCACTTTGCACGTCTGGAAGTGATCCTTGAAAGTTCTAAGGTGAGGATCTCCGAACAAGCCACAGAAAAGGTAATTAGGAGGGTTCTGGTCCCCTCCCCTGTGTTCTCTGGCTCCAGCATGGCTGTGATAGTTACAAGGGTCATGGGTCACTTCGGGGTTGGTAGAGGATGTGGGACCATCCTTGGAACAGTTCCTCTGGCTCATGAGGTCGCTGATACCCAATACAGCAGAATGGTATACCAGGTTGCCACGGCAGGCTTTTGAAGTCCGCTGGGTGCAGCCAGCATAGGCACGCAGGGCCTTGCAAAACTCCGAGTCAAAGCCGTCAATGGCAGAGTTCAGGTGTGAAGTCAGGGACACAAAGTCCGTGGTACATTTCTGGATTCGGCACTGGGCCGGTTGTTGGCAGTCACCTATGGGAAAGAAGATAAGACCACACATTTTTTAAATGCTTCATAACTTCCTGAGCTACATGAGAAAATGACATTCTCCTCTGGGGACTGTTTGTTCTATTTCATATTCTCCTATTTTAAGAAGGCCTTCAGAAATAGGGCTGCATTGTGCTTCTGTGTCTCTCACACATTAAGCCACTGGGAGAAAAGCTGCAGGCAGTAAGTTAACTTAAAACTTTAAAGCAAGGGCCGTTGTACATGAACATGAGTCTAGTGCAGTGTTCTTAGGTTAATATTACAAGGGAATGGTAAATGACATATTTTATCAACTTTGCTATTTATGGATTTTGAGAAAGATTCCTTTGCTTTAAGGCCAAGCAAAAGACGTGAACTTTGTTTTGATTTTGAAAACTGCATAAGTAATTTGCTTTGGAAAGCACTGTCTATGCACAAAACCACAATTAAAGCTTCCACAACTCAGGTAGGGGAAACCCCTAAATTATAGCATGATTGGTTAAACACCTTTACCTCACTCTAGTACAGCCAACAGAGGAAGAATGGCAAGAAAAAAATCCAGGCACTAAATTATTCTGCATTTCCCGATGAATGCTTATCAACAGATTGTATATAAACTGCCACTTAATCTCCTGGTTTTTACAAAGTGTAAATGTTCTCTTAAAAGATAAAGTGACATATTTGACCAAGCTTTGTATTCACTTCTCCCGATATCTATCACCCTGTAAAAGTACACTAAATCAAGGACGACACTGAAATCACACTGCAGAAGTAGATGATTCCAACTATGTTTTTTACCAAACACAACAGAATTCTCCAAAGTACATATAAACGATTTTCCCTTAAATCAACAATTCATATAAACTTTTGATTGAAGCAAAGTAATGAAATAAAGTAATGGAAAACCAAGTATTACTGCCCTTCTATTTTAAAAAGTCAATTTTCAAATGATGTTTTGCCACTAGCTTTTCACAAAAAGGTATAAAACCTCTCAAAGCACAAAAAAAATCAATCGTAAGAATTGTCAATACTAGGTCAGTCACATGCACCAGTTTTTAAATTCTGTTCCATAAAGTGTGAACACTACAATTACTAAAAAGAAAGATCCTTTCCTTTATTATCCACCTCAAATTTTACACAGATTTCTGTTAAATTTTATAGGTCTTTAAACTATGGAGGAACTCTCAATCTCTTCAAGTCTAAGTTCCTCATCTGAGAAATGAGGAGGTTGCTCTAAAATGAACTTTGTGACCTTTTTCAGTCTTAAAGTATCTTATTCTAGGTGGGAGAAAACAGTCAGTCAGTGGAGTACTATTAAATATGTAATTATTTAAAGATGTGAGCATAACAAGCTTCAGGATAATATCAAGATTTAGAACTTCATCTGATAAAGGCTTATTAAAATGGTTTTTAAATAAAGATAATTTAAGAAGATATTTTAACCTTTTCAGTAGTAAACTGCTTTTAAATCTAAATTAAATAGCCTATAATCTCTGTTTTTGGCATCAGCTGAGAAGAAAAGGGTGGGAGATGACCACTTCTCAAGATATCTCCCCAACCATTTTCTTACATTTCAAAGTCCAAAAAGGGAACAATGCTGTAGTCTTGACTGGATATTCACTTTAACTTGAGAAAAAGAGAACATTAAAATATTAATCACAAAAACATCTTGTGTTTGGCCTATTTTATGTTTGCTTATTGCAAAGTTAACAAAAGCAGCTCTGATATTTATAGAATTCTTCTCTCTAAAGTAGATCAAGTCATTTTCAACTATTTTTACTCAAAAAAGCAAAAGCAAAAAAATTAAAAAAATTAAAAAATCAACCAAATACCGCCCCCACCCCCCAAAAAATCATTAAAGCCATTTAACAGATGGAAAAATCAAGGTAAAGGGGTTTTAAGGCCTTGTCCTGGCTGATCATACATAGCTGTATGAAATCCAGGCAGTGGTCCCTTTCTTCCAATCCCATCTTCCTTCCTCCACACATCATGTCCCCTAAATTCCTGACTCTCAAAATGGTATTTGATAGCTAAAAAAAAAAAAAAAAAAAAAAAAAAGAATTAA